TGGGCCCAAAGCACTCACATTAAAATGCACTTAAACTTTGGGCACCTGGGTGGCTCAGTCGGTTAAGCGTCTGCCTTCGGCTCAGGTCATGATCTCAGGGTCCTGGGATGGAGTCCCTCATCGGGCTCCCTGCTCTTGGGGAGCCTGCTTCTCCCTCTCCCTTTGCCTGTTGCTCTGCCTATTTGTTCTTTCTCTGTGTCAAGTAAGTAAGTAAGTAAGTAAATAAATAAATAAATACATAAATAAAATACACTTAAACTTGACAGGGTGTTAGTCATTACATCCTAGTGAGGAGCATTTTTCCCCCCAGTGGAGATAAAATTCACATAACATAAAATACACCATGTGTCCAATTAAAGTGTGGAATTCATTCATTTTCCTATATTAACAGTGTTGCGTGACCACTATCACTATTTAATTCCAGAATGTTCTTATCACCCTCAAATCCCAGTTTTTTTTAACACCTAGTTGCAATAGGAGCTTTGATCCTGGGGAAGTTTGTAGGAGGAGAGCAAATAAGAGGGCTGAGTCCCTGGGGTGGACATCCTGATAAAAGATACTCTTGAAAATACTGAGCACAGTTGGCTCTGGGATGTTGACAAAGAGATAAATCTCCTGATTTTTTTTTAACAATATAAAACATCAATAGTCTAATTCTTAAAATCAACAGTGTTTAAAAACCATCCTGTGCCCCTGAAAATCCCTGAAGTGTCAATCCTTGTCCAGGCCTCCCTGAAAAGAATGGTTGGCTCTATTCAGGCACTGAGTCCTGGATAAGCTTGCCCTGGGATGTACCTGCACTAACCGGGAGTATCTTCTTAACAGGAGTAAAACCAAGAGATGACTTAGAGCTGATGTGGCTGTTACCGGGGCAGTGGGAACTCGCCTGTGGGGGCTAGATACCTTACTTGGTGAAATAGCTGTGCATATTAGGAGAAAAGAATTGAAAGGAAAAAAAAAAAAAATCCAGAAGAGTGCATCGTACACTGGCTTGAAATCTATGAACCAGGTCCCTGATGTTCTGGTCAAAGATAGGAGCTTTCATCATAGCAAGTGACCTAACGCTCATGTACCAACAAGACTTAGTCACGAATGTCTTTTGCGAAGTAACTTTGTGCTCTTAAGTCGAAAGAAGCAAAGATAGTTTTTGAAATTTAACCTTAGGTCCCTGCATACTAAGGTTTACCAAATGGTGACTCTGAAGGGGTACAATAGGCATTTCACTGAATTATGCTAATAAATAAAGCCGTAAGCATTTCAGGTGCAGGCTGTGGAAATGACGGAAGGAATCTGCCTTGGGCTGTGATTATTTGCACAAAAAGCAAAATCAACAAACAACACTCAAGCTGTAAGTTTCCTGCTGTGCCAGTTTTATAATAAACGTGTTTTTCTTTTCAGTTGAACTTTCCATTGACTTAAATCATTTATTTCCTTGGAGGTAATTTAAGTACATAGCCAGTGAAGTAGTTTACTGTGTTTAAGTAAAAAGAAAGTTTGGGAGCTCACTGTTTCATCAAAATGTGAATATGCTTAAAGGTATTCCCAATATTCTGGAACATTCCTCTGATTAGAAGAGCTGAATGGCAACCTAATATATATAGACTGACGTAGAAAATGAACCAAACAAGGGGGAAAAAATGCACATTTGGGTAAAAAATATTCTAATTTATTTGGAAATATCTTGATCTGCTTGTTAGAACTATAGGCATCAATCTGTAACTATAACAGAGAAGTAGCTTTATGTTAATCCAGGTAACATGTCATTTAGAACAAAAACTTTTTTTCCCCCTCTTGCAATTTCAGTTGTTACAATAAGGCAGGCCTTCAGATAGGCAACCATGATGTCACTTGATGGAGGCTGGAAGGGGATTCCTTTCCCAAAGTGGTTCACTCTCCATTTTTATGGGGTCTGAAATTATATCACTGGACATTTATTTCTTGGATCCTGAAGGTCCTTTGTTCACCAAGAAGAATCTATTTAAAAAGTGCAAATACTCATGGACGGGTGACTCATTAAGCATTACATTATATTTTAACTTGACTGCTAATTGAGAGTGTTTTGGACATGTTGGTTTTGTCCCTCACTCTTTCGTTCTGGTAATGGGTTATCTCTTCCTTTAAGGAAGCGCTTCTCTCCAAATCGAGCCCTGTGCTTCTGGTGGAAGCTGCCAGTCAGAACATTTTTTTTTTAAAGATTTTATTTATTTGACACAGAGAGAGAGATAGCGAGAGAGGGAACACAAGCAGGGGGAGTGGGAGCAGGGGGCCCGATGCCGGGCTCAATCGCAGGACCCTGGGATGACGACACGAGCCGTAGGCAGACGCCCGACTGAGCCACCCAGAGGCCACCAGAACATTCTTCTTTTCCATCCTGATTTCCCTCTACCCCACCCCCCAGTGGCAGGTGCGTGACTTAAGCTTGTCCAACCATAGTTCTCCACCCCTGGCCACAGACTGGTTCATGTCCCCGCATGGCTACCCGACCCAAGCCAGGACAGAGTGCTTTATTGTACTTTTTCTAACTGGAATTGGTGGAAAAGTGGTTTCTTTTCTCTCTGGAGGAGACATGAGAAGAGTCCATAGTTGCTTATGGCCATGTCTCTTCTGACATCCTGCTTGAGAGAATGAAGTCTCAATGAAGAGAGAAGCAGAGTTGAGAGACACTGAGTGTTCTGATGGTATGTGAGACTCTGTATCCATTGGACTATATGGCTAATGGCATGCCCTTTCTTAGTTTGTTTACACTTGTGCCAGTAAATTACCCTTTTTCCATAAGCTATTATGTATGACTGGGACATCTGTCATTTGCAAACAGAGGTCTGAGAACTGAAAACAAACATTTTATAAAAGGACACAAGATAACTAGGGGAGGGGTATTGTTCTGGTCTAAGAACGTGTGTGGGAGGTGGGTCAATTCTAATTGTTGTGTGGCTAAATGGAGGTCATTGTGTGTTAAAGTTACCAACATCTTTGCAGATTTTACTTTCAAGTGTATTGAGAGGTAGGACAAGGTGACCAAAGTCTCTGAGAATGAAAGCTAATATGACTCTGGAGCCAAAAGTGCTTTGACATTCTCTTGGGCTACTGAATTCAGGTTGAGGAGCATGGGAGCAAGGGGAGAGCAATAAAGTGCAAATATTTAAGTCAGTCTACTGACTCAGTTTTTCCATCAAATAAGAGAAGCAACATATAGGTCCAGAAAGAGTCACTGTTTTCATCCATAATTGACCTTGGAATACCTATCTTTATTTAAATTTATATCTGTTCATAATACATTAGGGTTTTGTATTTTTTCCTGTACAGGTAGCTTTTTCTTTTTTTTTTTAAACAGAAATACAGAAAGAAAATGGGCAAAGGTGGGATTTCATGTTTTCTACCCTCCCCCCAACCATTGGAGTCCTGGTACTTCAGTGTGATTTTAATTTTGACCTACTAAAATATCAAAGGAACAAAATTGTTATTAGACAGCAAATGATACATTTTTCAACAATGAGAATTATATACCTTGCAATAAGATCTTTTTTTCACTAGATTCAAAATACAGTTGAGAAGTTGAATGCTTCTCTCAGGCAAACTGGAGAACTTTCTCCAACGTGATGTAAAATCATTATCAGCTTCTTGGGACGCAACTAACTTGAAATCTGGCTCTGATGCCCTAGAATAAAGACCTTTAGGTGGATAATATCCTTGAATGGATTTTATTCTCTAAGTTTTCATGTTGGTAAAAGCAAATTCATAAGCTATCATTATGTTCTGCGGGAAGAGAAAAACAAACTGACCTTCAGCATGTGTTTCAAGATGACTGTGTTCCATGCCATTTCAACCCCGGGAAAGGGCTATTCGGAATAGAAAATTAAAACCAAATTCATTTTCAAGGTCCACCAAGTGGCCAGGATGCTGGACGTGTGTCCCTTTCCGAAGCCACCACAGCGCCTACTTGGCCCTCCTCCATTTATTTCCACGGTCCTCCTCTTTTTCCAGAATGATTTATGAGTAATAAAGGAAGCCAGGGTAGGAATAATGGCATGTTTCTGGCTTTACGAGAGTGCCACACATGAGAGGAAGACTTTACCCGGGGGACCACGGTTTCCCAAGAGATTCACCAGGCGGAACGAGGCTGGACGTCGCTGCTCTAGAGCAGAGACGAAAGACGCTTCTGCGTCGGAGGTGCGCAGGTGCACTGGGTAGGGTCAGGGGCTGCCTGGAGGCTCACTGCCCGGGGGTTGCTCCCACTTGTCTAACCTGGGGCAAAGCAATCAACATCCCTAAGCCTCCGCTTATTCTTCTGGAATCCATAAATGTACTTACTTCAGAGGTTATTCTGAGACTTAAATACACGTGAAGTGCTAAGCCAAATGCCTGGCACGTAGTACTAAATGTTAACTCGTATCATTCCTAATGGCGGCAGTCGGAGGGGTTTTCCAACCCCAATGTGTGTTTATAGTCCCTTAGAGAAGACTTGTTCAAAACTCCAAACCATAGTGGCCATTACAGTTTCTCGGAACCACCCAGATTTCATCCTCACCCAGCCTTCCCTGCTTGTTTCTGGCTCATTCATTGGCGGTTGTTCAAACCCTCACTTTTTCACTTCCCTGTGCCTGCCCGAGCATACAAGCCTGTCTACACTTGAAGGCAAGCTCCTCTCTTAGCTCCACTCCAGAGCTTCATCCCTCGGGTCTTCCTTAGACTCTTCCCTTCCCTCACGGCCACCCAGCTTTTGTGCAAAGACACTTACCAGATCTATTTATTCCAGCTCTTCAGCTTCAGAGACTTTTCCTCTAAGGAACTCCTTGTTCATTCCCTACCTCACGTACAGTGAAAGCGAATCCAGCCTGGAGTCAGTAATTTGTGTCATGTCCGCTGTTCATGCGGACGGAGGTCAGGCCAGGCCAGGCTGCTCCCCGGCACGGTGGCCCTGCCTTTTGCTCTGTGGCCAAGAAAACCATAAACTTCACGCAGGCCCGAGGGCTGGTGTGCGACTGTCACGTGGTAATACTGACCTCTAGGGGCTGGCTTCCCTTCACATAGCATCCTTATCTTCTCATTGAGCTCCAGGACTGTGATGGCAGCCTCTTGCTTAGCTGTTGCCAAATCCGTTTGCAGCTTTTTCAGTTTCCTTTTGTGCTTTAGTTTCTTGAAAAAAAATAAGAGTTTCCGTCACTAGAGACAGACATATCAAAGGAATAAAAAGAACTGACGAAGTCTGAACAACCATGCCTTTGCGGGCCAGCTTCTGTGAACTGCTCCCTGCTTATCTAGCTTAAGTCCTTTCTGAGATCTCTGAAACAGAGTGCGAGAGCCCCTCTCAGAGCGTTCCTATCCCCAGCAACGAAAGCCACTCTCTACAGCAGAGTATCTTTTACCCTCTTGAAGGGTTTTAATCTGCCTCTGAACCTTGTATTTTGGTTGCTTGTAATGGAGGCAATTAGAGAGCAACTCTAGTTGGTGGTTGGCATTTGACCACGGAGGTGCCAATGCCTAAAGGTGCCTGATTTTTTTTTCAGTCTGTAAGTAAACTCACGTGAAATAGTGAGCCTATTTCAGAGAGCCTTGCTTCTGTGTCATTTTCTACCCTGATACCATAAAGGTGTGCATTCCAGTAGACCCTGAGGAGTGTGATTCTACCACGAAATGCTGACGTTTACAGATATTTACTGGGGTATCTATATAGGGAAAGTGGTCAGGGGTACAAATCGTTAAGCCATAAGAAGGCAGGAATTGCTTGCTGTAAAATTAGTCTGATTTATGACATCTGAGCCTTTGAAAGAACTACTTGAGGAAGTTGTTACCTGACCAAAGGATTCACCTGGAGATTTTAAGACTAGCAATCTCCTTTTGTGGATTGCAAAATGAAATCAATTTGTCAGAATTAGATTTATCTGTCACTGCGGAAAAACTATCTGTTGTGAAAAGTGTTGTATTTACACTTATGTGTTGTTGCCTTTCCACTGAAGAGCTCACTTTGCCAAGTCTTTGTGGACTGGTAATTAGGAAGCCCAGAATATAAATGACTAACATTTCTTATCAGACATAAATCTTGAGATAGGGAAAGGAATGGTTTTTGCACATCAGGGGAAACCTCAGGTAGTAGGGAATCACTTCCTTTTTTTTTTTTTTTAGAGTAAAGCGGGTAAAATCAGTTCATCAAAGATGGGATTCAATAGACATAGACCACTCATTTTAAAGACAGGTTGTCTTTCAGACCAAAGCAGGATTAGGATTTCACGAAAGCTGAATTAATGGCATACATGTGGCTAAAAGAGAATGTATTATTCAAATGAGAATAGTAGTCATGGAAATTCTTTAACGGGAGCTGGAGGGGTAGAATCCCGCATGGTTCACCAGCACGGTCCAGGTGAGAGGTGCCCTGATCCACAACACGAGTTCCTGGTCTGTTCAGCAGTTCTCTTAGAGTGTAGTTAGTATTCACATACTCATTTCATCTTTGTACTAGTTACAAAGCACCCCTTTGGTGTCGGGCACAGTGCGAGCCAGCTGTTGAAACATCAATGCTGATAAGGCTCCGCGCCACTAAGACCCTCTTACTGTTTCCTGTCTGAGTCTCTGTTCACCAAAATCCTTCACAGTTTGACCTGTTCTGTAGATTAGTTCAGAGAGAGATTGAGCTGATCAACAAAGACATGGGTCTGGGTATTTGATAGCTAGCTGTGTTTCCCATAGTAAATTACTAGGTTGGCATGCTCATCAATACCCGCCCCCCACCTTGTAAGTTGGTTTGTGTCAGCTTGTTCATGAGAACCTCCTCCCTCCCAGGCCTGGGGTGATAATGCCTGTGAGGCCCCTTGTGGTCCTCAGCCTCCTTTCCTGATGCTACTCCAAGACTGTTCCTGTGCTCAGATTTTTCATACTTTGTTTTTACCATTTAGAACCTTGGGGCTAGAAAGTGGGAGGAATGATACAGAAATGAGAAATGAGGGAGAGAGCTGCAAAGGGATTCAGCAGAGAGGGCTAATTGAAAGTATCAGAAAAGGGGCGCCTGGGTGGCTCAGTGGGTTAAGCGTCTGCCTTCGGCTCAGGTCATGACCCCAGGGTCCTGGGATCGAGTCCCGCATCCGGCTCCCTGCTCGGCGGGAAGCCTGCTTCTCCCTCTCCCACTCCCCCCTGCTTGTGTTCCCTCTCTCACTGTCTATCTCTTTCTCTCTGTCAATTAAATAAATAAATAAAATCTTTAAAAAAAAAGTATCAGAAAAGAACCGATAATGATAAGGGTGTGCAAACTGATGCATGAGGGTTAAGTGTGTGGATGAATGCACTTTATATGGACATATGTAAAAAAGCAAGATGGGGTGATGGATGGAAAGAGATACTGATAGATAGGTGAGTAATGGAAGATAGCAGAATGGTAATTGTGTCTAGTTATTAAGTATATGGGTGTTTACTATAAAATTCTTCCAACTTTTCTGTGTTTGAAATTTTTTATAATGAAATACTGAGAGGAGTAAGAAGGAAAGTTTGTTTCCTTACATTGCTTCTCTCTTAATTTGTATATTTGCCATATGATCTGAGAAAGAAACTGAGGATATTTAGTTTGGAGAGGACAGCATACAGGGGAGTTACGACAGCTGACTTCAGTAATCTAAGGTACTAGTCAAGGGGAAAGGAAGTTGAGTTAAACAGTATTATTCTAGAGATACCATGGGGAACAATGGGTAAAAAACTCAAGAGGAGGCAGATTTTGGCACAGCATGAGAAAACACCCTCCAACAACCAGAGCTGAATTCATAACAAGATAGGATGCGTCCTGGCAAAGGCCTCCCACTCTGGGAATGATCAAGCAGAGACTGGATGAACATCTTCAGGCAGGCCCATAGCAACCTCTGGGACCTGGGTCAAGAGGTAATTAGAGGTCTGGCTTACCCCCAATTCTTTCCACCTTTGGCTTCCTCCAGCCTCTGAGAGACCCAGCACATGCCTGAATGGACACCTCAGCCCTCAAAGTCTCTAAGGTGGATACAGTTTTCAGGGATCCCTTAAAAATAACTCTAGAATTTGTGGGATGTTGCATAAGAGGATCAAAAAGGCCTGCGGGTCCCTTAGAATTCAAGGACAGTTGTGACTCAAGATGTGCAAACTTTATTATTAAGCTCTAAAGGAAAGGGGAAGGGACCTTTAGATTTAAGTTAAAAATTGAATAAAGAACCTAAATTGATTTCTGTTGGGAACTGTCGGTTATTCAGATAAATTTTAAAAGAGTTTAACATCTTTGTCTTTTTTTTTTTTTTTCCTTTTCTCCAGACAGGACTGCTGTATGCCATTAATTCATAGCTCTAACCAAGCCCTTTGGGCATTTCTAAAAATTCAGTTTGCCGACATGTTTTTTATTAGTCATAGACATCAAATGATTTCAGCAATGATAATATTTTCCTTTGCTTTTTTGGCGTTCTCTAGCCAGGCAACCCAAGTGTTGTACTTGACCCTAATGGAGTCTGTTATTATTGTCTCCTTAGTAACTAGGCACTCCCCCCCATGATTACTAAAAGGAAAGGAAGGCTTTATAGCTTGGAGGTAAATTCCTATTACCTTGCTCTTTTCCTACTTCTGCTACAGGGTGGACAGAGGGAGGAAATCATGTATTCGTGCAATGTTTTGAAAAGGAAATATCTATCCATATCACATTGCCGAATAGCTCGCATTATACGAAGTCATCGGGAATTAGAGATCATCAGGGAACTATTTATAGATGAGTTTCAACTCGAAGCTGCCAGCATTGTTTAAAATTTCCTGGTCTTTCCACACACTTTGAACTGTGGCCTCAGATTCTAAGGCAACCATTGGCCCTGAGAAATTGGGCCGGGCACATGACATCTCCAGGCCCTTGATCCCATAGCATATAACTGGTGGCGAGGCAGTGACTGAACACCTAAATGACAGTACCCAGTACTGTTTGCTAAGGGGCAGATAGGTCTTTCTTTTTTGTCATTATTTCTTGAAATACATCGGGGAGGCTCTCAACCCTCCACTAAGAACACTAAAGTGCCTTTTCTAAAGATGTCTTTGTCACACTTTAGAAAATAAAATTTGTGTTTCATTGAAAGCACGATTTCTCATTTTCCAAGATTTGCCTTGTCTTCTTTCTTTCTCCTTCCCTGTCTTCCACCACGTCTGCCACCTTTTCCTTCTCCTAAATTAAGTTTTCTCCATAACTGCACTGATCTCCTCCTCACTTTGTATGGGTAGACGACACTCGATGTCCTGAAAACAGATAAGCAAATAGCCTTGATCCAGTCTCCTGCCAGAGCTGGCTAGATGCCTGGCAAAGTAGGTAGCTGCCTCCGTGGAATGATGTGAGGAACTTTCTAAAGCCCTACCTCTTCAAGCCAGTGGCATCCGTGGCAGGCTTGCTGGAGCATAGCTTCTTACCTTCCTTACTTAGCCTATATAACAAAGACAGGTTTTGTCTCCAGTGGGCCCCTGATAAAATGCTCACTACCAAGGACATCCAAGAGAATTTGATTTGAATACAGGACATATAAGCAGATTTCCTCTTTCATTTCTTTTCTAAGAGCCCATTGTTAATAATAAAACTCATAAAAGTGATATAGCTTTTGGATACAACTTGGCTTGGAAAATCAATTTCACAACTCTTATTTTGTTTTGTATTTATGCTATCCCCAGGTAAGTGTTTAGAAGTCCAGGAATGGCAAGTATGTGCCTCGTAGCTTCCTTTCTCCCCCGTAGGCCTTTGATTTGGGACTTCCTTCACCCTAGGTTGCCTACCTGGCTTCACAATCCTTGATCCACACTCCCAGTAGCCACTGCTCATTGATGATACCTAATTGTTATGTATGATCCTGTCTCTATTTTGTAGGTGAGAGAGTTGAGGGCCCTGAAAACTTGAGTAGACCATGGTAACCATGGTCTCTTAGTAAGTAAGTAGCTGAATTGACTTCAACGAGTTCTTTTGATTCCAGAGGCTGATTTTTCTTCTCAATGATAGCGTAACGGTTCACTAATCAGTAGCACCATTACTTTGTTAAGTTACCTAAAGCTAGCTTTTTGTAGTTAGAGCGTGCATGGCTCTAATTAGTACAAGTAGAAAGGCAATAAACCAGACTTGGTTATAAAAGACTGACACTGAAGGGTGATGGTGAGACACTTGTAGCATGGACTGC